AGAACAATGGCATCCTTCAGATCATACACAATGCTAACCTGAACTGCATCACTATGCCAATCCTAAAAGGTGTGTCTCAAAGACTTCTAAAGTGAAAAACTGTGATGCTGATTACTTGGGTGGTAGAAGAAGAAAAACATCGTAAAATTTTGATAAAATGGACTTCAACTAAACTAAAATTTTTCTTTCTTTTCAAACTCTGAAAACATTCTTTTTCAGCCTCTGAGGGCTGGTATTGCAGGTGTTGTGTCACCATGCTCAGTCTGTTAAACATATTCTTACCGTATGACCCAGTAATTCCCCAAAGAGGAAAACATGTCCACCTATATATCTGCATGTAAATGTCCCATGACCCTTATTTGTAACACCTCCAAATTAAAAAGCAACATAAATTTCTATCAAAAAATGAAGAGATAAAATGTTGCAATGTAAACTGGGTGTCATGGTGCACCCCTATAATCTTAGCACTTGGAAGACTGAGGCAGGGAGACTTGTAAGTTTGAGACCAACATGGGATACACTGTGAGTTCAGGACCAGCATGGACTACACAATGAGACCCTATCTCAAAAAGTAGTAACAAAAACAAAAAGTTGGGATGTATTTTTCACTAGATGCAACCAGGTTCCCTCCACTCCCATAAGAACAAACAGCAGTCCAGATGAGAATCACACAGATACTGTGCTGACTGAAAGAAGCTGGACACAAGTGTTTATTGCATACTGCATCTCATTCATACAAAATTCTACAATGGGCAAAACAATGTTCACTGGGAAAAATGAGATCAACAGCAGCCAGATATGGATATTTATATGGGGATATTAACTGCAAAAAGAAGTTCCAGGGGAAATGGAAATGTCCTATTTTCATGGGTAGGATAATAAAATATATATTCATTTGTCAAAACTCATTGGCCTAGGGCCGGGGATTTAGCTCACTGGTGCCACCTCCTGCCTCATAAATGCAAAAACCCGAGTTTGAAAAAAATCATTAGCCAATATACTTATCTTTCATAGTTTTAAAAAATTAATTAATTAATTAGTTTGTTTATGTTTATTTATTGGTACTGGGGATCGAACTCGGGACCTCACACTTGCGAGGCAGGTGGCAGAACCACTGAGCTACAAAATCCCTGGCCTTGTATAGTTTTATTTTATCTAAATTACATCTGATTAAGACAAGTTTAAATGAATACATTTAACAGAGCCAGTGTAATTTCCAGAAAAATAAATAAATTTTGGAGGAAGATGGGAAGAGGTCTGAGGCTTGAAGGACCTTGAAAACAGTAGATAAGTACTCTACCACTAAGCTACATCCTCAGTCCATTATTTTTTCATTAAGTTTACTGGTATTTTTTAGGTATACAGTGCAGATACACTCATCTTTGGGATCTTGTACCCTTATGTGATGTTATCTTGATTCTTATATATTTTTAGTTTTTTGAGACAAGGTCTCACTTTGTACTGCAGACTGGCCTTGAACTCAGTACAGAGCCCAGGCTGTCCTTGAACTTATGGCAATCCTCCTGCCTCAGCCTCCAGAGTTTTGGGATTATAGGCATGTACCACCATGCCTGGATCATTTCATTTTATTTTGAGACAGGCTCACTAGTTTTCCATGCTGAGCTCAAGCTTGCAAACCTCCTGCTTCAGCCTCCTGAATACGTAGGGAGTTTTCAGTGTTGTCGTCCTACCCACCACCCCATCCCGTACCCGGGATGGAACTCAGGACCTTGTACTTGCAAGGCAGGCCTGAGGCCACTGTACTAAATTCCCAGCCCTTTTTGGAGTTCTTAGGTTGTTTTTTTTCCCTGAATACTTGGGATTATAGGTAAGTCTGTAGCACTCACTTGATGACAAATGATATTTTTATACAGATGAAAACTGAGACTTCAAACTACTAAATATTTTTATTTTTAAGTAACCTCAATAAGGCAATCTATTATGTAATGCTGGATACACAATCCTGAAAAAATTAAATTTACAGCATGATGAATTTTGCACTTAAAATGAAACCAAAAGAAAGCAAGCAAAGCCCATGGTGAATCATGTATAAGTTGTATAAAAAGCATTCTACAAGGACTGGAGATTTAGCTCAGTGGTACTGCCACCTGCCTTGCAAGCATAAAGACCCAAGTTCGATTCCCCAGTACAAAAACAAGCATTCTACCGTACTAGAGACCAAGTGATAAAAGAAAATAAATCAGTGGCAAATATTAACACTTGACCATTTAATGGAAGATATTTTATACTGCTTAAATGTACCACTATTCAAGTTAGCAATTTGATTCAATTCCTATTTTCATGGTAACAGCTAGGAGCAAACCATAAATTCCCGATTTTCCCTCCAGTGCTCAATAATGCTAGATAAGACTACCTTGCACTCCCACTGGGAAGTGGGAAGGGTGTGCAGTGCTGATAGAGCAACTAGCTCATTTTAAATCCCCAAAGAATTTCTATTGATGGGCTGGGGATTTGGCTCAGTGGCACTGTGCCCGTCTCACAAGCGCAATACAAGATCCCCGGTACCACAAAATAAAAACAAAACAAACTTCTATTGATACAGGCCCCTAAAATCACTTGGCTGAAGTTAATTATAAGAATAACTATCATGTGCTGCAAAGGTATGTTACTGACACATTAAATTTCTGTATCTAAATTTTGTACTACAGGATGAAATGGAGAAATAATCTCCAAAAATGAAACAAAATAAAACAAGAAACCAGGTATCCATTACTCAGATTCATAAACTAGGCATGGTGGTACATGCCTGTAATCCCAGCATTCAGCAGGCTGAAGCAGGAGGATCACCACGAATTCAAGACCAACCTCGACAACATAGTGAGTTGAAAGCCAGCCTGGAATACATACAAGATCCTGTCTCAAAAGCAAACAAACAAACAAGCCACCACCAACAACCAAAAAATTACAAACCAACTAACCAGCCAACCAACCAAGATTTATAAAACACAACAAGGCTGGGCACAGTGGTATATCCTGGTAACCCCAGTACTCCGGGAAGATGAGGCAGGAGAATGTCAAATCTCAAATTCAGTACTTCAAACGTGGCCGTGTGCCAGGAACAGCAGCAACATCAACTCCATCTCTACCCATCATCCCCCACACACACTGGGGGTGGAAATCAGGACACCTTGTGTTTGTGAGGCAGGCACAGTGCCAATGAGCTAAATCTCCAGCCCAGCATCAGCTCTATCTTGGTTGGCATGCAAAATCCCAGGTAGAATCTACAAAGAACTGAATTAGATAGATGGCAGTGAACTCAGAGATGCTTTAACAAACCCCCTGGGTGATTCTGATGTTCTCTAAAGTCAAGAATCACTGGGCTGGGAATTTAGCTCAGTGGTTCCGCTACTTGCCTTGCAGCTCCCAAGTTTGATCCCTGATACCAAAAAAAAAAAAAAAAAAAAAAAAAAAAACCACCCAACAACAACAACAAAAACATTGCCACCATTTGGACTCAACCCTGAAATCAATCTTCCTGCTTAGCAGACGTAATCATCTGGTAGCATTAAAATCTCACCTAGGGAGTACAGATTTCCACCCTGAGAAAAATAGTATTTAGTTCATCTTTTTCCCATCCTGTTTTAAAATTCACTGTATATTAACAGCAAGTCAGCTGGGTGTGGTGGCGTGCGCTTGTAATGCCAGCACTAGGGAGGCTGAGGCAGGAGGATCGCTGTGAGTTTGAGACCAGCCTGAGCTACATAGTGAGTTCCGGGTCAGTCTCAACTACGTAAGAGACCCTGTCAAAAAAAAAAAAAAAAAAAAAAACCCAGCAAGTCTAGTTTCCCAGTCCTAAAAGACTGGATGGATCCCTCTCTCCTTTTTCTTCTCTCTTCCCTCCCTCCCTTCTTCCTGCATAGTATTGAGAATTGAATCCGGGGTTTTGTACATGTCAGGCAAGAAGTCTACCACTAAGCTACATACCCTGCCCTTTTAAAATTTTGAGACAAGAAACTTATTAAATTGCTCTGGCTGGCCTTGAACCTATACCTGTAACTCTCAGCTACTTTGGGAGGCTGAAGTAGAAGAATCATGTGTTACTACACCTGGCAAGATGCCCTCTTTAACAGTCTGAAACATAAGCCATGACAACTCCAACCCTTACATGGTATCAGAAGGCCCAGAGACTGAGAACTTCACTGTGCCTGGCCTTTTTCTAAGTTTGTCCTGTGTAGTTTTGTTTTGCATAGAAAAGCAGCAAGGAAAATGGCTATTAGTGGGGTGTGGTGGCATGGCTATAGTCCAAGCTATCCAAGAGGCCGGGGCAGGAGGATCATTTGAGCTCAAGAGTTCCAGACCAGCGTGGGCCACATAGGGAGATCCTGTCTCAAAAGCAAACAAAAACAAGGGAACAGATGTTATCAGGAAGCTCTTTTATTTGCCTGCACAGATAACATTTGCTCCCAATCTCTACACATCTGAAGGCACTAGAGAGCTGTTTATTTTGCAGTTATGGTGTAAGGGAGCCCAGAGGCTCAAGTTAATTATGCTTTTAATACCAGTAAACAACAGAAGACCTGCATCTATCAGTGATATAGTAAAATAAGTCATATATGCTAGTTTTAATTTAGGCAGTATTTTTAACAATGTTACAAGAGGAAGAATACTATACCAATGCACAAAAGAAATTCTACACAGGAATACGGTAGCAGGTATAACTAACAGTAAATGATACAGATTTGTGAAAGTAAATAAAGTCAAAGATTATTGAACAGAATTAGTACAGGGCCCAAAACTCCATTTTTATTTTTTGGCACCACGGGTCGAACGAACTGAGGACCTTGTGCTTGCAAGGCAGGTGGCTGCACCAGTGAGCTAAATCCCCGGCCCTCAAAACTCCATTTTTATCTGTTTGGTCTACACTGTTCCATACTGGCTAACGAAGGGTTCTGGATCCTTACAAAAGACAGGAAACATCACTGTGACTGGTTAATTGGTTCCCTGGGCAAGAAATACTTAGGAAGACCAGGATTACTCACGTGATATCCCTTCGCTGATAGCAGCCCTGAAGCAGGCAGGCAATCAGGTCACTGATAAACTCCACATCATCTCTGTGGAGAGCTGCTTCTAATTCCTGAAAGAGGGGAGGGAAAGAGAGACAGAGAGATCGAGAGATCAGACACAGACATTTCTTAAAATTCATCTGCCCCTCCCTACCACTAACATGACACAGGCCCCATGTAACATAATGATCCATGATCAGCTCTGCCTTACTTCCACATTGCTGCTAGAAGATGAACAAAAGTTTAGCTTTCTGAGCCAGGGATTTAGCTCGGTGGTTTTGCCATCTGCCAGCGCAAGGTCCCGAGTTTGATCTCTGGTGCCCCCGCCAAAAAAGTTTAGCTTTCCAATTTTCCTTGGGGTTTACTTCTTTCATTGTTCCTTACCAGGCCACATTCTTTTATCTGTATACTGGAGGCAATATGTGTATCACTTTATTTATAAATTAATGCTAAATGCGCAATCAAAGAGGTTAACTGATACAAATATGTTGAACTGAGTTCTATTTTAGTGGTAAAAGAATACAAGAGCATTATGTAACTGATTGTAAAGTATTCTTCATTTATTCAATAATTTCGCTGGATCAAGCCACTTGCAACATATTTAAAGAACTAAACAGCATTGGTGAAAGCAATATGGCATTTTTTATCTCAAGGACCTTACACCTACACAACTGATGAAAGGAGATTACTAGAACTAAAATTAATCTTACATCATCTGGAGAGAAATGAGGTAATGTCTGTTAATAGCCTAATCCTAGGTGAGATGCCTGTGCTTTCCTTGGGGTTCAGGTAAATGCTCTAGAAGACTCAGCTTGTCTCAGCACAGTATTCTCAATAAGATTAGGTGAAGGGGGCCCACTGGAACAAAAGCGGCAGGGGGAAACTAGTGGACCCTTTTTCTCTTACGGACCTCCACAAGATTTCTGATATGATGTATATAAGTCATCAACTCTTATACAACCTAAAGTTTAACTGCATCCTTCTATGGAAGATGCTGTCCCTCTTTGCATGAAAATCACATACCTAGAGTCTGCTTACTCATTACCAGATCTATTAATCCACAGAAAAACAAAACTTGATTCATCAGGTGTTTTTGAGCCAGCATCTTGCTATATAGTCCAGGCTGGTCCTGATCTCACTATGGAGCCCAGGTGGGCCTCAAATTTGCAGTGATTCTCTTGCCTCAGTCTTCCCAGTGCTGGGATTACAGGCACAACACTACCACACTAAGTTTATTAGTGATTCTGAAAGTATGAAATGTGCATAAGATCCACTTCTGATCTCAACACCAATTACATGGTAGTTAGTGTACACAATGAGGATTCTGTTTCTAGAATAGAAATAAAGTTGCTATGTAAACTACTATATTGTTCTATTTATTATTTGTTTAAAATTCCTAAGTTTTGACATGATGGTGCACATTTGTAATCCTAGTGCTCTGGGGCCTAAGGCCCAGCCTAGCAACTAATCAAACACCTCAAACAAAAAATAAAAAAGGAGTTGGGGATGTAGCTTAGGGAAAAGGCCCTAAATTCAACCTTTAACACTGGAGGAAAAAAACTGAAATTTGAAGATTTTCACTCTTAAAACGTCAAAGAACCAAAAATTGCCACTTTTGGGTGTTGGAAGGTGGGGTACGGTTAGAAGAGGTGGGTCACTGGGGCATGACCTGGATGGCTGTATTTATCTCTTTCCTCAGCTTCTTCCTTGCCCTCTGCTTCCTGGCTGCCATAACATGAGCAGGTTTCCTGTACCACAGGCTGTTCTACTGTGCCACTTCTGCCCTGGAGCCAGCCAACAGTTTCTGAAACCTCTAGAAATTGTGAGACAAAATAAACCTTCCCTCCTTAAAAAAAGAAAGAAAAAAGTCATGTACAGTAGTACACACCTGTAATTCTAGCACAGCAATGGCTGAGACAGGATTGTGGTGAGTTCAAGGATAGCCTGAACTACATATACCAAGACCCTGTCTCAAAAACAAGAGAAAAGGGCAAATTGCCAAGTATACTATGAGTACTAATGGTTCCACTGAAGAGGAAGGAGTCCCTTACTGCCTTGAAACTCCTGATGACACTCAAGATCCAAAGCCAAGGAAGGACAAGCTTAAAAACATTCCACTTTACCAGGGGATACAGATCATCACTGGCAACACACCTGCCTGGCAAGCACAAGGTCCTGGTGCCGGGAGTAACAAAAACAAAAACACACTCCACTTGGCATAAACATAAACTTGGGAATTGCTAATACACACACAGTAATTGTTCTTAAAATATTACCTTATTTATTCCTGTGGATGGAATTCTTTTCTATATTTTAGTTAATTGTTATCCAGAAACATAAGGAACCCTACTACTAATCAGAAATAACAATATAGTCAGAATTCATTCACCAGCAGATATTTAAGGTAATACAGTACTGTACTTCCTAAGCACTGAGGAGTTTAGGGTTAGAGAAGATGGTTCAGAAAATAAAAACAAAGTTATCAGTACCACCAAGTACGAAAAGGTGCTCTTGATACTGCATGAGTTGAGAAGGAAAAAACTGCTTTGGGCTGTGGAAAGCCTGAATGATTTCATGAAGGTGGCAGCACTTGAGGCAGCAGAATAGTCAGTGAATACAGAGCCAAGTATAGGGAGCAATGGAAACACAGGCATCAAAAAGACAAATACTAGGTTTGATTCAAATATTCTTCAGGTGATGTGATGAGAGTAATGCAAGCTAAGACACAGATTAGATAATAATAAAGGTCACACTTGAAGACAGAAAGTAGGAACTGAGCAAGCATTAATGAGGAGGGAGCTGTGAGAATGTGTGACAAGATGCATACATTTAGAGGATGCCTCTTCCGTGGTAAATAAGCAAGAATTTATGGGCTGAGGATGTAGCTCAGTGGTGCCACACCCACCTGGCAAGCACAAGGTCCTGAGTTTGATTCCTGTACTGAAGGAAGAAAAAAAAAAATCACAATGCAAACTAAAATGCAAAAGCTTCCTCCACATATCCCCCAGTGAGATTTCTACGAAATCTAATTCCTTTTCATTCCATCTTAAGCCACTGACCACAGGCATCTGCTTCTAGCTTCCTCCCCTACCGCTATAACTGTCATCAGAGGCAGATTTCAGCTGCCTAGGTTCTAGCTACAATGCTGTCCTCTGAGGAAGCAAAAACAAAACATTTTTCTGTGTTTCAGCAACTGTGTCACGAATGCTCCTTTTGCTACTTAAAACACATTAGTGTCCCACCTCTTCAAAAGCTGCTTAGAGAAATAATGTTGTTGAACTCTCTGTGGCTCTATGACATTAACACAGAATTTACTAAACAGTAGGTGATCAAGCAATACAACAAAAATACACACCTCACTCACTATATGCCAGGAATTAGGATACAAATGTGAATAAGAAAATCCCAGGATAGGTGTCAGGATTCCAACAGTCCCATCCTGGGGCATGAGAAATTGTGTACGGGGCTTGGGATTTAGCTAAGCGGTTCTGGCATCTGCTTTTCGAGAGGGGAGAGGGGAGAGGGGAGAGGGAGAAACAAGGAGGAAAAGAAACATACAATCAATTTTAATCCATTGGCCATTGAGATGTGCAAAATGAAGTTCTGCAGCTGTTTTTCACAATAATGTGAATATATTTAACATTATTGAAATGGGTACTTTAAAATGGCTAATGGCGAGGCTGAGGCAGGAGGATCACCAAAGTCAAGGCTAGCCTGGACAACTTACTTAATGAGATCTTATCCTAGAATAGTTTTTTAAAAAGGGCTTTGGTAAAACCCTGCTGGGTGATAAGGGATAAAGAAAAGGATGAGAGGAAGAGGGCAGAGGCAGAGCACTATTGAAGTACATACTTTAGAAAGGTTTATGTAAAAACCATTCATATGATGGTTTAAATTTTTGTTACACAATTTTGAAAAATAATTATTTATTACCAAATATTTTTGTAACAGCATCATCTACAAGAGCTGTAGTGGGGCAATGCTGTCCCTGGCATATATGGTAAATGCTGTAAATGTTTATATTACATGTATTCCATCTATGTTACAGTGACATATGTAGAAAAAGAACAAAGAGACACAGATGTCCTTTTCAAAATTCACAAGTTTCTGAATAGAAATTCAAATTTTCTTCATGTATGGCGTACCATGTTCACGATACCCCCTACCACATACCCAACAAAGAAGTACTTGGAAATCCAGGTTATTCAAAGCTTTACTACTTAGGGTTTCAACTCAAAGCTTAAGTCTTAGACTAAGGCAACAAGGGACCCTCCTAAAGATCTCCACCACAACTTTTTTTTTCTTCTCACTTTCTCTCCTCCTCTTTGTATTTCCCTTTCACTGTGAGCATTGAACTGTGAGCAGGGAAATCTGAACTTTGCCAAGATGCTCAGGAACGTAAGAGGACAGGGAAAGCAAATAGCTGAAAAGGCAGGAGATCAGCTCAGAAATGGCAGTCCATTCCTATAGCCTCTCTGCAGCTTCGGAGTAGCTGAAAGGAGTAACAGGATTTGCCTTCCTTGAAGGTGGCGTCACAGCTCATTAGGGAAAAGGCTACTCGAAGTCTCCCACCTCCTTTACCCTAAAGAACAAATCTTTCCAGTCCATTTGTGCAGAGGCTGCCTGTGAAGGTTTTTTTTTTTTGGTACCGGGAATCAAACTCAGGACCTTGTGCTTGTAAGCAGGTGTGGTGCCACTGAGCTAAATCCCTGTCTCCTAGAGCTCAACATGTGCAAGGGGAACTCTCATCTTTCTCTTAAGCACCGGGTCCCCAAGAGCAGACGGAGCTCTTAAGCGCACACATTCTAGGAAAGTGTCCACAACTGCTCACATTTAAAAACCCTACCTAACTAATAAACAGAGGTAAATTCCAGACCAAAGACAGTCACATGACAGAGTATTATTAAATTACTTTAATATAACCACAGTCACTCAACTTAACTTTGGTACCAGGGATGGAACTCAGGACCTTGTGCTTTTGAGGCAGATGGCACCACTGAGCTAAATCCCTGGCGTAACACACCTTCTCTTAAATAACATTATAGGTACTTTCATTTTTATGAATGA